GTATATGTTAATAAATTAAAAAAATATAATAACCAATTAAAATAAAATTATATAACATTAATAATTAAAGTTTTGACAATAATATCACCTAATTATAACACATAATATTTTAAATTTATAATCATGAGTTGTAATCCATATATGTATATAATAATATATAAAACATAAAATAATTATAAAATTATAATATTATTGTTATAAACATTATAATTATATTATTTTTTATTAAAAAAGTGCTATTGACATTTAAAAAAGGAAAAATTCTATTTTTATAATATAACTGACGACCAAGACCTAAGCTCGTGTTCCATAAAAATTTTAAAAAAATAAAAATAAAATAAAAGTAGGAAAGAAAGACCTAAGTTCGTGTAATTGAAAAGACCCAAGTTCGTGTAATTGACCCACATAGAATAAAGTAGAATACAAAAAGACATTAAATTACACCTCAATCCCCAATAAGTCCCCAACAACCAACCTAAAAGCTGTCTAACATCTAGAACTTGAGCATTTTTCCTTCGTCACTAATTAAAGCAATACAATAAAAAATTATTTGGATTGGACTGACCCTGTGATACAGAGCACAAGTTAAACTTTTTAAGTTTGAACACGCGTTTTATATGTTTAAATTTTAAGTATTAATATTAATATTAATATTTAAGTTGACATGAACATGTACTTTTAAGATTATTTTAAAGATGTATATAATTATTAATAATTTAAATAATTTAGTGGTTATTTCTTTTTGTTGAAAATAAAAAATTTTGAATTTGAATTATATAGTGTGTGAGTAGGGTGAATTAAGAAATGAAAAATAATTACTTTTTAATATACAATCAAAATAAAATAAAATAAAATTATAAAAAGATGCACACGACTTAACTAACCAAAGTTACCATAACGGTTGAAAGCAAAAAAGAAAGAAAAAATTATATATGGTAATCCCAGACCATGGTGATTGAATGTACAAAACTTGGCTCAATAGTGTCCTTCAACGTTATTTGGAACGGAAGAATTGAAGGAAGCCCTACCGGGCCAAGAGCCCTGGTTAATTAGGACAGTGTGTGCCATAAATAGACTATAAATATATATTATTTTATGATCAAACCGTAAAACAATAGTATAGTACAAAAAAAGAAAAAAAAAAAACTTAAGTACATACTTGACAAATTACAATAGTATAGTACAAAAAAAGAAAAAAAAAACTTAAGTACATACTTGACAAATTACGATAGATATAAGTATTTGATTGAATCCAATCTTTAGATCCAATAATTTGACCATAAACCTTAAAGTATTTGGAGGAGGTGATCAAGATTTCAAGCTCTACCATAGTCTAAAGCTCTCATCCCCCATCCCCCAAAGATCCAAATTTTCTTTCATTACTATTCTAGAGTAAAAATAAAGGTGTTCAAGAACAAAAAAGCCACTACCAATTGAAACCCAAAAGCTTAATTTTAACACAGAAACAAAGATAGAACTCTGGGAGGGAAGAAGCTAGTGTCCTCCAGCCATTCCAGGAACTATTGAGACTTGTTTAGGCGGTTTTGGAAGCACAAAAATAGCCATCAAAGCACTGATTGCCGCTGCAATAGATCCTAATACAAAAGCAGATAAATTGCCTCCACCAAATGCCTTATCCAGCGGTCCACTGATTACTGAGACGAACATCTGAAAAGCATAACCAAATAATTTTTCTCATGTTAAAGAAAGCAAGTTTTGTAGTACTAAAGTTTATTCTCCCAAAACTAAATTCTTTTCTTTTCTTTTTTTCTTTTTTTATTTTTTGAGATCACAAGTGGACTTAACACATAAGTGAACATAAGCAGAAAAGGAAAAGATTCTAAAAACAGGATTTGATTCCTATCTTTGCAAAAAGAGAAGGCATAAAATCTTCCTACTTACTACAAAGTGTATTGTATGAATTTTTTTGAACATGGAACAACTAGGGGAGGGAGGAATGGGGCCAGGGCTTTAACCCTACTTGATAGTGCCACTTCTTTTACAAAGAGTTGTGGCCGTTGGCCCCACATGGTAGTTGGCATATGGTGTGAATTGTATGAATTAGAGTCAGAGCTGAACAGAAATTGATCAAAATCTTACCTGTGGTATGACAATTGACATATTTAGCACGCCTAAAGAAAGCCCTGCCATTTTTAAAACACAAGAATCCCAAAATTAAAAAAACTAAAAAATATAGAATTCTATTAGTATATAGTAGAAAAAAAAATTGATCCCACAATTTTATATCTCAAAAGTGATTAAAAATTTAAAATTTAAAATTCAAGATATTTTATTTAAAGATTAAAGTATAGTAACTTCAATAAGATTTTTGAATGGTTAAAAATTTAAAACTCTAAATTATAAATTTTAAGTTCGAGTTTTAAATCAAATGAGAAAGAATTAAGAAATAGAAGAAGATTATTTTTTTTTATATAATTCAAAATGAGATGAA